CATTGGGTACAGGACCAAGTCTCCCCTGGGTGGTGCCAGAAGATGAGCGCAATAGAATCATCAAGTTGCCATAAGGCACGGAATGAGACTATTGCATGGCTGGGTAGTCAAAGTCTTCCATTCGTTAGTCATTTCAGAAGGATTAGAACAGGTTTAGGATTAGGGTGGGCGTTGGCCAGATTTGGATTTTTCAGATGTAATCCTGGATAGGACCCTGTCATTGAACGTCGCGTGAAAGTGGAACTTAATGAAGGCCTAAGTACTTTTTCGTAGTTTTTTAGTTTTCGGATTTGGAAGATCGTCGGTTACAGTGGCCTGCTTACTGAGCAGAAAAACGCGGTCCCAGGTCCTTACATATCAAAGAGATTTATGGTAAAATCGCTTGTGTATCGTGTATTTTGCGAAACTCGTTGTTGTCGTTGATTCCGAGTTTGAATGGATACAAAAATTTGAGCAACGGTATTATGTGATATGAGGGGCTCGGTGGCCTTAGAACAACCGTTTTTGCTTACTGAGCAGAACATCATGAGTCTAATCTCAGGCCCATCCACATTCAAGATTCGTCAATCGTTTTATTTGTTAATATGACTACATGGTAATAACAGCAACTCGGTGATTAAAAAGGTGCTCGTCTGCCTAGTGGCAAACGTTTTTGCTTACTGAGCAGAAGACCGTGGGTTTAGTCCCAAGCTCCTTCTCGTTATATGATCGTTAGGAAATCAATTCAGCTTATCGTTTACCAAAACGAACCCTGCTGCAAACCCAACTCTCTTATCCAACATCCCAGTGATTCCTCGTGGAAGTGCAGAGGTGTTCTCGGCTTCCATCAAAGCGAGTGTCATGTCAACACAATCCTTCCCATTCCTTTCTTGACCTGTGTTCGGGCGCGGCCGGCGCTGGTATTGCCTAATTTAAGATCACCAGTTTTTACACATTGAGGATGATTGCTAATCCCAAGCATCGTCTATTGGTTCTCTGTGTAATTACAGCTGATCTGGCAGTAACAGAGTAGCAACCGTGGGCGGTCAATCAAGCTCAAGCTCAAGCTCAAGCTTTAAAATTTGTCTTTGATCGGCTGTAAAAAATCGAAATTAAATGATAGACGAAATCCGACCGATCGTGGACTGCACAAAATAGTACTGAACAGAAATCAAAACGAATCGGACGAATCGAATGTATACATTTTGAGAAATTTTTGGCACCGGTTTTGAAAATATGATTCCGAGATAATCGCGTTTAAAGTTTCAAGTTGGGTTTAGTCCACTATCAGTGAATATTTTTGTACGTCGCATAACTTTCACAATTTTCATCGGATCAACTTGATCTTTTGAGGAAATATTCTTGACTTTAAATACTTTCGATTTTTTGAAAGTTTGCAGGTAGGCGTAACCCCTTAAGATGCGTATCTGGCTATTGAATCAAAAATGGCATAACTGTAGGCTCATTCAATAAGAATTTAGATTTATCATGTTCAGTGGCACAGCCAGGATTTCTGTCTGGGGGGTTTGTACAAATGACGAATCGGGAAAACTAGACTATCTCGATTTGCATAAAACTTTGTGTTATGGGCAATCATTATCATTTTTATAAAACTGACCATTTTGAATGTTGTATTTATTTCCTCAAAATGGCGTTTATGCCATTATTCAACAAATTGTAGCGCGAAAATTTTATGATATATCTGAAAAAAATCCTAGAGGATTGTGATGAGAACCTGAGTTAAGCTAAGTTTTCTTTATTAGGGAGGCTTTTAGCCTGGGGCAGGTTCGCCTCGGAAGCAGTACAATATGGAAGGAACCCAATAAAAATTATGGCGAATGTTTGAAAAGAATTCCAAAGATATTTTAAGGATAATTTTAGGCGAATGAGGAAAACTTCAATGGAATTTCTGAGGGAATTCCAAAACCTACCGTATATAGGGAATGCTGAAGAGAATTAACTAATATAATAGATAAATCTGGCTCAAACTGCAAACAGTTTTAATGTGATTTCTAAGACATCTCTGAGAAGAATGCTAATGTGTTTTTAGAGGGTGATAAAAGGAAATTATATAGGGGAAATGGATGTAATGTCGGCCTAAATGCCCCTAATTTCAACCCATACATAAATTCAGCAATCGACTAAATTTTCAATAGCAATAGTATCGTCCCAATGACGCGTTCATCTAGATAAAATTGATAAATAGTAGATGTTTAGCTATGGACCCAATCTTAGATCCCTTGGCCAACATTAGAGCCGCTTCCCCTATCAAGGGAATTATAAAGAGAAAAATAAGTGAATTGTTGGGAACAATTTGAGGGAACGATAAAATGAATTTTCTAAAGAGAATGTTTAGTCTGCAGAATGTTACAAAAAAAAAGATTACCAATTGCATAAAATTTTAATCAATAGTTTAAAAATCCGCCAAATGGTTCAGAGCCTAAACTAGTGCTAAAGTGTTATACAGCTGGTGATGTTAATTTGAAAGCCTGATAATCGAAAATATGGACGCATTTAAATGCTTCAAAATCAATAATGACGTTAGGTGTCGAAGCGTTTGACGCCTCAAATAGGAAAGTTTTTATTCAGCTTTCGAATGACATAAAAAGATACGTTACATATTTTAATATCTTGAAAACAAACCACGAGCTAATCTTCTGGTGTTTGTGAAAACGCGTTGATCAATTTGGATGAAATTTTCATTAGTTACTGGTTACAATCACTAAGTAGGGATGCAATCTGCTTCCATATTTTCTTTTAACTATAGTTAAATAGTCACTGAGAGAATTGTTCATATATCGTTTATGTGTCACACACATATAACTGTTATCAATCGAAATCCAATAAATTTTATGTGTGGTCACCAGCGAATCCAAACACATAAAGCAACCAACGATACAGACAAAACGGTTGCTACGACTACCATGACAAACTCGCTCTGTAACATAGCTCGGTCCGAGTTGTAGAAGGATAATGATATATTGCTTGCCTGCTTTATTGCAATATACACGGATGAGGACATAGCTTGATCTGAATCGAGAAAAGACATAACAAAAAAAAAAATCCCATTAGCACACGTGTATCATCTTCGGCTTTACTTCGTGAAGTAGCTTGCCAAAAATTTGCTCGTTTCCTTCTACCGCCCCGAGTGAGTTGTGCCGCACGGGCTGCTTGTCATGCCAAAGAACGAAGAAGATTATATCATTATTGCTTTCCACTTCTGACATAGCGTTATTATTCGGTTCGTTGATCGCTTGTCATTTGGAGATATTTTTGATTCCTTGGTGGTCACACATGGACAGGATAGTTTGTGGCAGATGAATGTCATTTGTCGATTAATATGTATTTTTGGTTATTGATATTGTGTTTAATGTTCGGAAATTATGAAATTTATATTTTTATTTAATATATATTTTCTCTCATCACTACAGTTATTCATGACTTTCCGTTCTGGTAGTCCTCCTTCAGGTAACTGATTAAAAATGTCACGACCTTCTTACGAATATACTGTTTCAGCACCGGAAGAGGATATCGATCACTCGTCATCTATCAGGTTCAGAGCAGTCAGCAGTCATTCCGCTCTTCGGATGATGGCTATAGCAGCGTTCGTTAGTGAGTGGTGAATCCGGAAGCTGAGCGTTCGACTACTGATATTAGAAAAGGTGTCGAAATTAGCTACTTTAAACTCAAAATGCATCCCCAAACTTACTCTTTCTCATTGATGCTGTACTTGATCCTCGATGTCCAAGCTGCCGTCATTGGCAAATTAATCCACTTGCTTCCCGTTCCACCTGGCCCCATCGGTCTACTCGTTAAAGTTCTTTGTAAAATTTTCCAGTCTCCATTTGGAAATTCACTTCTTCCGCGGTCAGGCAGTCGGGTGTATACTCGGGTGTATATATTTTTTATGTGGCCATGTGCCACAAAACATGACGTTTATTTGAAATACACATACTTGGTATATATAGAACACATATCGTGTATATGATGTTTATAAAATTTATGTGTGGGACGTTTTATGAAAGCTATGTGTGAAATCACACAAAACCAATCTTTGCTGTTTTATCAGTGAGGCGAATGATTGTAGCTTAAAACTTTAAATATATTTTTTTTGCTGCTACTCTTTTCCCTGGCTTAGAGCAACCGTAACGGTCGTTGTCATTTGCGCGACTATTTTAACAGCACACAGCGCTCTCATTTTAGTTTAGTCACTCTTCTCCACACCGGTCGCTGCTATCGCGGTTATCAATTTAATCGCCGTAGTCCGTACCGGTAGTGAGCATTTTGACATTTCTACGAATAGCAACCTTTCTCCCGCGCTGCTAAATTTGGTAACGCTCTTCTCACCGAGAAGCCGGCTGCTATTTTAGTTACTCGTATGGCAACCCCCGATACGGTAGCTGCGCTATGATGAGGGCTGCTAAAATGAGTTTAGCAGCGTACCGTTACGGTTGCTCTTAGAAAACTTTAAATGTTTATCCCGTATGGATACAAACAACCTCCACGGTACAGTACTGCTCTGGGGACTGCCCTGCGCATTTCGTTCACTTTCGTTGTGTGCGTTTTATCTTCCTCCATTAAATCAAATTTTGACGTTTTATCGCATAAAATGTGTGCATTTGTTTACAGTCATATTAAAATACCCACGGCGAATGAGAACGACTCAAATTTGAGTTTAGTTCACTCATAATCGCCAAAAGTGCAGGAACTCAGCGATGAGTTAATTTGCCTCATGTTTTCCCAGGTTTTTCCAGGATTTTCCAGGGAAAAATTCCCGAATTTGAGAAAAGTAAAGATTGGATTCACTCAGTCTATTGGTACTACTCCGAGACTGAATAAAATTTTCGTCAATTTCCTCATTTTCCGGCAGATTTTTTAGGTTTTCCACAGGAAACCATGAGACAAATTTAACTCATCGCTGCGTTCCTGCACTTTTGGCGATTATGAGTGAACTAAACTCAAATTTGAGTCGTTCTCATTCGCCGTGCCTCCTTGCACTAGCTGACAGGTATTTGATTGAGTTATGTGCCACTAGATATTCTCATGCTCGATTGTAGCGATCAAATAATGTTTATTCAAACTACCGCATTGAGTTAGGAGTGTTGCATCGTTTCGCAAGTCCGTGGTGCTAAGCTGTTTAGGGATTTAAACTCGGTAGATTGTCTCGTTTAGCTCTAAGGTAAGTGATTAATTTTCAATAAATACATTGATTGCAAGCAAATACGAAAACATTTCCATATTGAGTATAGAATTTAAAGAAAAAAGCATACAGCGAGGAGCACTGACGACAGTTGCCCTAGTACATTTACCTACGAAATTGATTTTGCTGATATGCCATAAATGTTTAGTTTAGAATGATGTTTTTTTTCGTTGAAATCAGAATCGATTAAAAGATGTTTCCTTGCGTTCGCTACTTCGTCTTCGTTGCCTTGGCAACTGAGTGCATGAATGAAAATAAATTATCACCGTATGAAGCACGTGCTTGCGACACCGCCTGCCTGGTTGATGTTGGTTTCTCAATAACAAGAAGCTGAAAACAAGTTTCTTGTTTTTGTTTGATTTTATTGCGCTGGAACAGTATTGCAAGCATCACAGCTAAATCTACTGATATGGTTGATATGGTAGAAACTGGGAGTAGTATTAGAAGAAAATAATTTAAATTTAGCGTTGAATGTTTGCCTGAACAGTGAGTTTTAGAATGTTTTTAGCATTTTTCTTTTCTTAATTTCAATTCAAGGCTCAATCACGTTAGCTTCACGGAGCCGATATTTCATTGCTTGTAGATTAACAAGAATAACTTAATAAAACGTCTAGTAGGGGTAGACCGATTGCGATTACTAGAGGTTTACTCGTAGCTGGAAACATTTTTTAGGCAAGTTTCAGGGGAGTTGCAGGCATTTTTCTTGGATACAATTGTTAGAGCATGTAACAAGGGATCTAACTTGAGTAAAACATAATACTCGACACAACATACCTAGTACCGTTAAGCAGTGTGAAGTTGATCATTCAACTTTCACTTCTTATGATAATGTTATGAAATTTTTTTTTTAATATTTTACTAAATAATTTTCAATAGTTTTTTTTTAACGTTTTGACTTTGAATCGATGCATTCTAGAGCTCGAAACAACGTTCACTCTTGAAGAGGGTTTCCACAGTTACAATTGAATTTTTTTTCATTTCCCCATAAGTCGAACATCTTGCACTGTAAGATGGTTGAATCCCACAGTAACACATCCAAATGCATTACCGACAGACATCTCGCGAATCTTTGACCGTCTGTCTGCATTGCATCAGCCAATAATATTTGTTTGTCGTTTCAAAAATCTTTTCAACAGCACCCATTTGCACTAAAATTTCTACGTATTTACCTACGGCAGAGAAAGTTTACTGAAACTAAAACAACCTCCTCTATAGCTGATTAAGTCTTCCCATCGACCACGTGTAAGCAGCGTTAAACAGTTCTAAAGTATATAGAAGTAAAAAGGAAGGCCCGTCTCATTGATAAGGACACGAGAGATTGACTCAGCCCATAGACACAAACATGTTGCTATTTTGAAACGTTTTTAAGTGCGATTAATCGGATCGAACCGGCCACAAAACTAAGCTTAATCACAACAACTGCCCCCCTTCTTTCGTGCCTCGGGAATAGCGAAGGTGGAAGACGATGGCAAGTGTTGGTTTGACCCTCGAGAAGGCCCTTATGACGACAATGACCAGAAGCAGAGGGAGTACAATAACAACGTCGAACGTCAGACTTTACCAACAACAACAACAACAACAACGGCAGCACATGATTAGGACAGCACGGGTCGAGGCTAAATTGAAAGATCTTCCGTGCGAAGGATTCAGTTGCAAACGAGAAGCGAAACTGAAAGGAAGTGCAAGTGACTTAGAACACGGTTGGACAAAGTTGAACACACGTAGGACAAGTGACAGCAGTTGGAAGGGACTGATTTCCGAGAGAAGAAGATATTATCATAGTTTTAAACGTTATTCAATTAGTGGACTGATTGGTCGGGGCAATATGGTGCATACGAAGAATAGCAAGAAGAGCTTGGCCAGTCAGAATGGAGAAGATATTTTATCGTTTGGCAGGCACTATCATACCGATACCAAGGACAGGTGAGCGCAGTGTGATTAAATTCGTAGCAATGTGTGATCTTATGGGTTTTATTATTTCTATATAATGCTTGCAAAAAATATTCATTGGTTTGAATAAAGTAGTATAACGTAAGGAATTATATTGCCATTGCTTTGTTTTAAATGTGTATTTTTTAATGCAGATTCTGGTCTGAATTTATTTGCTGCTGCTTAAGGATTGCAACGATTTAAACAAGCATGTTTATTTATTAGACAGTTCAAAATTTCTTTCGATTATTAGTTTTGTAACAGTGGTGATTTGGTTCAAATATTAAAAAAGTATATTAAGTTATTACTTATAATGAAATTATTTATTTCACTACAAAAGCTGGATCACATAATTGGAGCTGTTTAAAATGAGGTTTCCTACTGCTACAAATATTATTATGGAGCAATATTATGAGAACATATCTTCTAGAATTTATTTTTTTTTATTTTTCTTTGCCGATTTTTTTTTTTTAAATTATGAAATTTAGCCCTAAGGTTTATGGTTTGAAAAAAAAAAAATCGGAGCTAGGATTTAATTTGCTTGGAAATAGTTTTAAAAAAATCTAAAGTTGCAAAAGTATTCGGCACTTCACTTGCACTATTTAATACCTAATATATTATTTTAAAAATATGATCCACTCGTTCGCTTAGCTGGTGAACCAAACGCCTCTGTGGTCAAAAAGGCTACTAATGTATTTGTTTATCTTCACGAGGGGTTAAACAAAATTTAAATTTTGTGTAATATTTTAAATGTATTTATTCAGCATATTATTTTATTTGTTTAAAGCAGTGACACGTCAGGAAAAATTTCATGTGATATGCAAAATGTAATTGGTGAAAATAAGTAGAAATTTTGATGAATGTGGGCGTCTTAGTGGAATACCTGTATAATGAGAGAGAGAAGGATTAGTATTTTCCATTTAATTCCACTACTTTATTTGCTTATCCTTGACAGATACGCGTATTTCGTCTACAATGTGCAGACTTCTTCAGTGTCTTGTACTAATACTCGACAGTCGAGACACTGAAGAAGTCTGCACATTGTAGACGAAATACGCGTATCTGTCAAGGATAAGCAAATAAAGTAGTGGAATTAAATGGAAAATACTAATCCTTCTCTCTCTCATTATAAAGTAGAAATTTATTTTTGTAGTAAGTGCTATATTCGCGCCCCTCCATTGTAATTTGATTTGCTGACCTTTTTCAACGCTAGATGGTGCGTGAAGCAATATGTTTTGGGTCGCCATCGCAATGTTCGGAAAAGGCATGAACGGATCATATTGTTAATATGATATATTTGTTAATACCTACACTGAAAGCTGGAAAAAGAGAGCGAACCTCAAGCGCGGTTCCCTTATATGGATTAAAAGTGTTTACCATGCTATTAGATCCTACTGGTTATCTATTGGTGCATTCCATGGCGTGATGCACCTGGCTTTCGCGCCAACTGTTCATATTGGTTAATCCAGCTAACAGAGCTTTGAGAGAGGTTGGTTAATTTTCCCAGAAAATGTTAGTTGAAGTTTTCGGATTTTCCCGGACATCACTTATTTTGAAAATTCATAAATTCATGAACCGAGCATAGAAGAAAGAACGTTGCGAAGTGAAATGATGAGGACATTATCTCAGAAAGCCACACAAAATATTAAATCCACTACCAGGGATTTGGATTTGGCACTATCTTTCAAATTGGAGGAATGCTTGGAAAACGTCCTTGAAGCTTGGTTGAAAATGTTATCTAACATGAAGCTTTAGTGTGATAATTTATTAGCTAGATAATGATCTTAGAAGAGGCTAGGTAGATAGTTCCGTTTGAGTACTCTAACGGAACTATCTACCTGCCCTCTTCTAAGATCATTATCTAGCTAATAAATTATCACACTAAAGCTTCATGTTAGATAGCATTTCCAACCAACTCTGAAAATCGCAAACTTCCCGAATGAAGTAACATAAAAACACTTTGAATGTCTTTGAAATTTTCCTCCACCGTGAAAATTTTCTTCGAAAACATTTTTCAATTTATATTTTTCTGGATTTTTGAGATGATTTCCTAATCATTTCATTTAAAAAGCTTTTTTTCTACGTTACTTGGCTAATGAGTTGTGGATTGTCAAAGTATATAACTTTCGGAAAAATCAGAGAAGTTGAACCAAAATTTACCGGGCCGTTTGTTTTTTAGGCATAACTCAAAACTCTAAAATTTTCCGGTTTTCCTCCACCGTGAAAATTTTCGAGGTAAACATTAAAAATTCAGATTTTTTTTTTAAATTATGTTTCGTTCATACCTCATACCGAGGACGCACTAGTACTTCAATACTACGCAGGCTGCTGTTCAAATATTTAAAATCTTTCCATTACTGCATTCATTACTTCAAATACATGCTTAATTTAATTAAATATATTAACTACTGAAAATTTGATATTTTAATTATTTTTAATACATATTCATTATTTTCCATTAAATTAACTCCCGTAATTATTTGTTGATTACTTGCAGTACCGCTAAAAGTATTTAAATTTAAATTATTACTATATGAAAAATATTTAAATTACTACAATGAAACTAGCAGAACTTCCTGGAAGTCAGCAGAACTTCCATGAAGTTTTCAGAACTTCCAGGATGTTAGCAAAACTTCCATGAAGTTAGCAGAACTACCATGAAGTTAGCAAAAATTTCAGGAAGTTAGCTGAACTTGCAGTAAATTATCAGAACTTCCAGGAAGTAAGCAGAACTTCTAGGAACTGACAAGAACTTTCATGCAGTTAGCAGTACTTCCATGAAGTTAGCAGAACTTCCAGGAAGTTGGTAGATCTTCCTAGAAGCTAGCAGAACTTCCAGCAAGTTAGCAGAACTTCAATGAAGTTTGCAGAACTACCATGAAGTTAGCAGAACTTCCAGCAAGTTAGCAGAACTTCAATGAAGTTTGCAGAACTACCATGAAGTTAGCAGAACTTCCATGAAGTTAGCAGAAATTTCAGGAAGTTGGCAGAACTTTCAAAAAGTTAGCACAATTTCCAGGAAGTAAGCAGAACTTCCTGAAAGTTAGCACAACTTCCAGGAAATTAGCACCACTTCCAGGAAGTTAGCAGAACTTCTAGGAAGTTATCTGAACTTCCAGGATGTTAGCAGAACTTCCAGGAAGTTAGCAGAACTTCCTGGAAGTAAGCAGAACTTCCAGAAAGTAAGTAAAATTTCCAAAAATTTAGCACATCTTTCAGGAAGTTAGCACAACTTTCAGGAAGTTAGCAGAACTTCCATGAAGTTAGCACAACTTCCGGAAAGTTAGCACAATTTCTAGGAAGTTTGCAAAACTTCCAGGAAGTTAGCAGAACATCCAGGAACTTATCAGAACTTCCAGGAAGTAAGTAGAACTTCCAGGAAGTTAGCAGAACTTTCAAGAAGTTAGCACAACTTCCAGGAAGTAAGCAGAACTTACAGGAAGTTAACGGAACTTCTAGGAAGTGACAAGAACTTCCATGCAGTTAGCAGTACTTCCAGGAAGTTAGCAGAACTTTCTGGAAGTTAGCAGAATTTCTAGGAAGTGACAAGAACTTCCATGCAGTTAGCAGTACTTCCAGGAAGTTAGCAGTACTTCCAGGAAGTTAGCAGAACTTCATGGAAGTTAGGAGAACTTCCAGGAAGTTAGCACAATTTACTGGAAGCTAGCAGAACATCCAGGAAGTTATCAGAACTTCCAGGAAGTAAGTAGAACTTCCAGGAAGTTAGCAGAACTTTCAAGAAGTTAGCACAACTTCCAGGAAGTAAGCAGAACTTACAGGAAGTTAACGGAACTTCTAGGAAGTGACAAGAACTTCCATGCAGTTAGCAGTACTTCCAGGAAGTTAGCAGAACTTCATGGAAGTTAGGAGAACTTCCAGGAAGTTAGCACAATTTACTGGAAGCTAGCTGAACCTTGTGGAAGTTAGCAGAACTTCCATGAAAGAAGCAGAATTACCAGGATGTTAGCAGAACTATCAAGAAGTTAGCACAACTTCCAGGAAGTAAACAGAACTTACAGGAAAATAACAGAACTTCTAGGAAGTGACAAGAACTTCCATGCAGTTAGCAGTACTTCCAGGAAGTTAGCAGAACTTCCTGGAAGTTAGCAGAATTTCTAGGAAGTGACAAGAACTTCCATGCAGTTAGCAGTACTTCCAGGAAGTTAGCAGAACTTCATGGAAGTTAGGAAAACTTCCAGGAAGTTAGCACAATTTACTGGAAGCTAGCTGAACCTTGTAGAAGTTAGCAGAACTTCCATGAAGTAAGCAGAATTACCAGGATGTTAGCAGAACTTCCAGGAAGTTAGCAGAACTTCCATGAAGTTAGCACAACTTTCGGGAAGTTAGTACAACTTTCATGAAGTTTGCAGAACATCTAGAAAGTTAGCAGAACTTCCAGCAAGTTAGCACAACTTCCAGGAAGTTGGCACAACTTCCAGGAAGTTAGTAAAACATTCAGGAAGTTAGCAAAACATCCAGGAAGTAAGAAAAACTTTCAGAAGTTAGCAGAACTTACATGAAGTTAGCACAACTTCCAGGAAGTGAGCAGAACTTTCAAGAAGTTAGCAGAAGTTCCAGCAAGTTAGCACAACTTCTAGGAAGTAAGCAGAACTTACAGGAAGTTAGCACAACTGTCAGAAGTTAGAAGAACTTCAGAGAATTTCACAAAATTTCACTGAATTTCGCAGAATTTCTACGGCGTTCCCAGAACTTCAACGAAATTACCAGAATCGCAACAGAACGTCTTCGACGAACTTGTAGATGAAATTCTAAAAACCTCTTTGCAGCTCAGAGAACTTCTTTAATATTTAATGAACTTTTATGAAGTTTCCATAACTTTCCCAAACGCTGCTAAGCATCTCCAAAGTTCTCAGATTGTTTCAGGAATATCAGAATATCTTCGAAGATGTCAACATTTTTCCAGAGTTCCTCATATCATAATTTCTACAGAGTTTTCTAAACTATTCCGAACCTAATCGAAGTCCCCAGACTTT